AATCTACTCTGAGTGGGCACTCACTCATGGTCAGAGAGTTGAGCTGCGTCCGAAATCGCATACTGTCTGAGTACTCAAGAGACTCTTGAGTACTCAGACAGTATGCGATTTCGGAGGCAGCTCAACTCTCTGAGCATGAGTGAGTACCTACTCATGGTGCGTTCACACCGGACGCGAATAGCGCGTCAGGCGCGAGTGATTTCAATGTTAAGTCAATGCAAAGACGCGTTACGCGCGTAAAAAATTCCTGCGGCGCGAATGAGGCGTAGAGCGCGGCGCGGTAGACGCGAATACGCCTCATTCGCGCGTCAAGTTCGCGCGAATGGCGCGAATTGAGCGTCTGGCGCGTTAAGCGCGTTACGCGCGAATGATTTAGTTAGTGCTATTTGTGCATTCACGCGTTTGACGCGAATTCGCGTCTGCCGCCCCAGTTGAAAAATCTGAACTTCTGCGTCAATTCGCGCCGCGTTAACCAATCAGGAGCCTAGCTGCTTGCTGCTGTCACATATCTGGATGCTTCAATAAATTATTTTGTAATATATGACTGTGGTTCTAATGCACAACAAAGCAAATATTTTATCACATAAAACTTGATTTCAATATATGAGACATATATTTATTTTGTATTGAATGCTATTTATTCCATATCTAGATTATATGAAATATTATTATAATGTAAAGACAACCAACATATAAGTTCGTGTCTGGACAGTGATGTGTGAGAGAGAGAAAAAAATCACAGGACAGATTAATCACTTTTGGAGGCTGGCTTCGTTTATTATCAAAACAAAAATAAATGACAGATTAGGTGGATGCGGGCGAGGGTAACCTCGCGCCGGGCTGTAGAGCGCGGGCTCGACAGGCATAGCTAGACCACTCGAGGCCGAGGGCTTATACGGCCTACGCTGTCCTCGTCAGCATCCTCACCATTAGGTCCACCAAACCTAGCTCCTGGAGCAAATTGTGAAACTCCTGAAACTCTCCGGAGGTTCTGGTGGACCCGAGTACAGCGACGATGTCCCCTACGCAGCTGTTTCTGCTCTCCAGAGCATATACGAGCGGTGACTCTCTCGAATAATGCTAATGCTAATGCTCGATAAACATCTAAAAAGATGGCCGCCAACGGGTTTCGAAACTTTCGCCTCCGGATTTCGCCTCTGACGCGCGTAAATTTCGCTTCAAACTTTTGTTGTTACGCGCGTCAATTTCGCCATTGACACGCGAATTAACACAAAGTGGTCAAGCGTCAAACTAGACGCGGTAGACGCGAATTTGACGCGCTATTCGCGTCCGGTGTGAACGCACAGTCAGAGTAGGGTTTCACCTGCTTTTATACAGAAGTTCTGCTTGTGACGTCATGACGAGGAATTTAGAATGTTGACGCAAAGACGATTTCTTCGCGATGTGATTGGTTGTTGAGATCAGCCAATAGTGTGTGGCTGCACATTTGCTGCACGTGACGGTGACGTCACTTGCATTCTCCGCTGCCATAGAGACAGAGAACCAAACCCGCACGGGGAGGATACAATCCAACCGTCTCCATTGACTTTGTATTGGTGGAATTTGCTGAAAACAATTTGATTTAAAATGTTTATGAATTTATGAAATATTGCTGTATAACAAGGTATACTGTATAGGACTTTGACAGTTAATTATTAAATAATAAAACAGTAGATCAATATGAAAATCACCACAGTGGTAGTCAGTGAGATGTAGAACAATAATCTGGTGGAATTTGCAGAAAACAATTTGATTTAAAATTTTTATGAATTTATTAAATATTCCTGTATAACAAGGTATACAGTATAGGACTTTGACAGAGAATTATTAAAGAATAAAACAGTAGATCAATATGAAAATCACCACAGTGGTAGTCAGTGAGATGAAGAACAATAATCTGGTGGAATTGGCAGAAAACAATTTGATTTAAAAAAATTATGAATTTATTAAATATTGCTGTATAACAAGGTATACAGTATAGGACTTTGACAGTTAATTATTAAATAATAAAACAGTAGATCAATATGAAAATCACCACAGTGGTAGTCTGTGAGATGAAGAACAATAATCTGGTGGAATTTGCAGAAAACAATTTGATTTCAAAATGTTATGAATTTATTAAATATTGCTGTATAACAAGGTATACTGTATAGGACTTTGACAGACAATTATTAAATAATAAAACAGTAGATCAATTGTTTTATTTGCAGAAAACAATTTGATTTTATTTATTTTATTATGAATATTTTTTTTAAAAGTCTGCCGACACCAAGCGCATACACCTTGAGCCTACCACGCAACCTCGCGTAGACGCGCAATCTATTTTTAAGCGTAGATGGCGTGACCGCGCTTTTCTGAAGCACAGATGGCGTGACCGCAGTCCCGCACGGGTCGGGGAGGATACAATCCAACCGTCTCCATTGACTTTGTATTGCGTGAGTGAGGCTGCCTCTTTGTCTCCTTATTATAACGCTATATATGTTTACTTTAAATCGCTGATATGCAATAATTAAAATATTATATTGAATTGTGAATTAGTATTATATTGATTTACAAACTGGTATTTTTGTTATATGCTATTTATTATGTTTGTGGTAGGACTGGGGAAAAGTGTTTCAATCAACCTGAATTCACTATACGGTACCACTCCGTCACTTGAACAGTGTTTCTGAACTGGTGGGTCGCGGAGTGTGCAGTCAAAGAAAAAAACAAAAGACGTGCGTGAAAGCTGTTTACACTTCTGTCATGCAGTAAAATGTGTCCCTTAGAAAAATGCGTTGTCTTTTGTATCTTCGTTCAGGTGTTGTCAGGCTATGTCTTATTTTGGTAACTTGATCAAATTAGCCTCGCCTCAGAAAAGCGAGCATGCCTATTAACGAAAACTAGTTTGGGACTGCTATTAACAACGCAAATTCTTGCAAAGTCAGTTTTAAAATTAACACAGATTTAAATGTAATATTCATTTGGTTTTGTTTAGTTTATTTTTAACCCTCATCCTTCCCTCGCACTTTGTAACACATCTTTCCCTCGCGGGTCAAAATGACCCGAAGCCCTAAATCGTAGGCTACTTAATTTTTTTTTTTGTCCAGAAAGCTTATTTTATTTAATTTTGATAATATTGTCAATATGTAAATATTGTATTTTTTAATGCATTTTTTTTTATTTTATTTTTTATTTACCTTTAAATTACTGATTTGATCCATAAATAATAAATAAATAAATAGTAATTTAAGCACATTCCTCACATTCCTTCAACTTAATAACTCACAATTTCATGCACAACCCTTTTAATTCAGCTCAAAATATCTTTAAATGGGGTGTCTTTGTGTAGACCTCTTGTGGAAATAATATATATAACATAATATTTCAGGACGCCTGCCACTAGATGGCCTTATAGCTCTATAAGGAGTAAATGAGCTCTTCCGCTGGGTCCTAAAGTAAATTTTTCTTCAGTTTGCATTCATATGCGTGTAGAACATAGACTTTATAAAATAGTTTTTTGGTAAAGTTTTAGCATTTTTAGTGTGCTAAAGCATTCCTCGCATTCAGAGGGGATTTGAAGACAGCCAGCAAGTGGTGTGTGTGGACCTCTCAAATGTGCCCAAATACTGTTAATGAAGGAACAAGACTATCTAACATGTAATTGAAGGTTGAATTTCCAGAGGACTGGATGATGTTTAACTCTCCTATAATCTGAATCGTTATATTCTTGAAAGCTATCATGTTGGTGATTTATTGGTGATTTTATTTATTTATTTATTTATTGATGAAGCATAGAAAATAGGCAAAAAGGGAAACTCAGTAATCTAAACTATTCCACAGAGGATCCACCTCCCCTCCAATTATTCTGACACGACTAGACAACTCAGCTCGCTCAGCGTAAAATAAAACAGCGTTTTTCAAAGGTACTATTAGTTTTAATTGAAGTTATATCTAAAAGTGTGTTACATTCAGATTAATTAGTGGGACAAGAAAGTGCTGGTAAATATTCCAATTCATTTTCATCCATCTGGTTTATTCATCATCTCACTGGAATCACATTGCATTTTGGGATACATTGCCCATTGTACTGTGTTGTATACTGCACATTTTTGCACATACAGTAGAACTTCAATACAGAAAACTTGCCTACTGTGCAGTGTGCACATTGTACATTTCTGTAGAAAAATATATGAGTAGCATAAGCTATGATATGAAAATTGTTGGTTTTTCAAAAGGCTTTGGAAACATTTTCTTTGAATATGCTCTCATTACATTTTATAAAATAATTCTATGTACAGTGATGTGCATTAATGATTGAGGTGCCTGTTGTTACTCTTGTTTAAAGTTAATACATTTCAACAGTATGCAGGAATTACAGTAATCCAGTAGAAATAGAAATAGTTTTCCCAAAAATGTCAATTCTGTCATCATTTACTAACCCTCAAGTTGTTCCAAACCTGTATGAATTTCTTTCTTCTGCTGAACACAAAATAATATATTTTGAAGGATGTCAGTAACCAGTTGGGCCCCATTGACTTCCATAGTATTTTTTTCCCTATATGAAAGTCCATGGGGCCCAACAACTGGTTACTGACATTCTTCAAAATATATTATTTTATGTTCAACAGAAGAAAGAAATTCAATGACGACAGAATTTACATTGTTGGGAGAACTATTCCTTTAAATGACAAAATTAAAACGGATGATATATTATTTAAAACAAAAACAGCACATTGTAAAAAATAGTATATGTAGCCTACATGACACATGTGACTAGTATATTAAATAATATCAAGTCATCTATATCCAATTAAAATGACAAATCTACACTTATGGATGCTGCTTTTGAAATGTATTGCTTTCCATTGAACAGCTGCATGGTAACAGTTTGTTTCAAGAATTTGTTACGTATTTAAATATGTTTTTAAATGACAGAACTATTTACAAAATGTAAAAACATAAGAAAAGTATTTTGTGTGCAATGTGACACATTTTCACATTGAGTTCAAGACTCGCAACATCAAGCCAATGTCGAGTTCACATGCATCAAAAGTCGATTCACACTGTTTGAGAGTTCGCACTTGATTTGCCTCTCTTATATCCCTCAGGTTTTGGTTGGCTCTGGGTATTTTTCTTAATTCTGGGAATAAATGGAAAGACAACAGTTACTTATTGCAGTTTTTTAGGGGTTAAAAATAGCTCTTGCCCATAATATGAAAGCTTGTTTCCGCCATGAAATAAAAAGCTAAAAACAATTCTGATATTTGTTTTCCTCTCACAATTGCGAGTTTAAAGCTCTCAATAACGTGCAATTGTGAGATATAAACTTGTAATTCGGAGAAAAAGTATAGCAATATCTCGGACACAAGCATTCCATAAGTAGGCTATACAAGTTGGCAGATTCGACAGCATTTAAAACAAAGTTGATTACCCCCCCCCCCCCCAAAAAAAATTTATTTCGACTTGCCCTTCGTTTTGAGCATAGACGGTTTTGAGCTTTTAAGCTTTAGTAATATAATTAGATAACTTTATAAAATGTTTGTTGGTTTCCACACTAAAATGTTATTAATTTTTTCCAAACACGCATGTTAACAGGCATATTGTTTACATCTAGCGGCTAGGCTACTTTAAATTGTGAGTACAAATCGGCACTTTCACTTCCATTGTAACTGTCACGTGTGCTGAATTGTTCACTCAACCGATTCAATCAACCAACAAAACAAACGGTTCTGCAGTGGCTTCGCTTGGAACAACTTTAATTGGCGGCGCAGAAACAGTTGAAGCAACTGGCAATATTGTGTGAAAAATGTAAGTTATTCAATAGTGACTTCTTGTTTACTAAAACTGCTGTTTAAAAGCGAGAAATATCGCACTCGCAATCTCTTTTTTCTGCATATGAGCCCTCCACCGATTTCCCGCGGCGTGCTCGTGTGATATTCCATTGTAAATACATTACTGTTGCTAATCAGTCGAGGGATGAGAAACAGTTTTCTGTGGTAATCTATCATATGTGTCTTTATCATGTTGATCAAATTTGTACTGAATCCGAAACCAGTGTGAAAAGCTCACGTGACTCACTTGTAGATGTAATAGATGACCACCCCAAGCACCGCTAAAATGAGCAGGACCATGATGACCACAGCAGCGACCATGCCCTTCTCCTCACTGCTGTGTGAGAAACTGAACAGCTGATACTGCTCACATCTGCTGCCCTCATAGTGCGCACTGCAGCTACACGACAGGGAAAGGGTTTCAAGCCAAACAAGGTATGCCAAACGATAAGTCATCAAATAAAACAATAGATTTTCTGTTCGTTAGGACACTTACACACAGGTGGGGGTTGACACAGAAGGTATTTTAAAGCATGTTCCTCCATTCATGCAAAAGTTGGCTTCGGACCCAGTGCAAGGGTCACCGTGTTCTGTAATAAGAGGAAATACAAAGGAAAAAAAATAAAATAGATGCATCATTTATCAAGCTTTCCCCCACAGAGAAGTTTTTATTTTGTTTTGCATTTTATTTGCATTTTAAGAATTCCACATCATGGAAACACAACATCATGTGTGAAGTGCACATGATAATGTATTTTATATCTATAATGTTTATGTGTGCTGTTATTAATTACCTGCCATCATGGGAAACGCTAAATAGATCTTCTTATATGGGAACTTTAACAGCAGTCTCTTATAATCACCTGAGAACAAAGGAAATATTATGGTCAGATTACATTACATTTTACATTTGTTACACAGTGTCCACATTAACTATATTGGTTGTTTGTTAAAGATGTCAACGTTCCTACAGAATATAAATGCTCTCTGTAAGGGATGATGTTCGTAATTTTTAATTCGTCAACATTAATCTGGATAATGTTGATTAAATAATATGTATTATTAAAACTGGAATATTAAATAATATTAATTTAAAATGTTATAGTATTTTAATATATATATATATGTGTGTGTGTGTGTCTGTATAAATATACATATACACACACACATATATTATATAAACAAACTTTTATGTTAGATGCGATAAATCGATTTGACCACTAAATATAATGGTTAATATAATAAAATACTATTTAATATTTCAGTTTTAATAATATACATATATTAGTGCTGTTAAATTAATAATCGCAATTAATTGCATCTAACATAAGTTTGTTTATATAATATGTGTGTGTATATGATTTTTTTATATATATATATATATGCATACATATATGTGTGTGTGCACTCATATATACATACATATACTGTATAATGTACTGTAAACTTTTAATGTTAGATGTGATTAATCGCGATTAATAGATTTGACAGCTCTAATATTCATATACTACAATTAATTATATTAAGTATAACAATATTGTTAACACCTAGTTGAGTGTATAGGGGCTATGTGCAACTTAACTTCCGTATTCTGTAAAACAGATCGCATCGCTTCCGGTTCAGGTCTTTAGTGTGTGCTTCGTGAAAAAAATGAGCTGCTTTATACAAGATAACTTAAAAGGAGCAAGTAAAGATGAGCATAACTAATGTCCCTCGCATATGCAGATTGATATCTAAAAGTATTTTAATTTTTCTCTTTTTCACAGTAACGTTTAGTATTTAAATGATAAAAACGCCAATAACAAAGTGAACTGGGTAGGTTAGCCGATTGCCTTAAAAGTCACTGGATATCTGTGTCAGTTCACACTGCTGTTCACACTTTCTCTGACAAGCGGATGCGATGAGACCAGTGTTCGACATATACCCTATTGGCACTGTAATATATTTTATTTATAATTAAAAAGACATTTTATTTATAAATAAAAGCGATTTCTTGAATGGCTCAATTGTTTCTCCTAGACAGCAATACATTTAGATAGAGAACAAATCAAGTCTCCTGCTTTTTTTCTTTTTCTTGAGCAAGATATCCTAATAATATCACGTCTCGTCTAAAGTTTCAGAAGAGATCTCAACTGTTGCATAAACTGCTTAGGCTAGCCTTAAAACTTAGGCATCTGTTTTTTCTTCTTCAAGACTAGTCCTTACCTCTTTTTTTTTTAAAGCGAGTTACATAAGAAAGTCGATTGGTCTAATTTGAATCAGAAAAGTAAGACTGATTATCATCTCTTGTGAAACTGCTAGTTGGCCAAACTTGTTCTTAAGACTCAGTCTTAATGGCTAAGTTTATGCAACTCGCCCATCGCAGGATCTCAAACTGTGCTCAGATTTACCAAGATCCAAAGACTAGAATCCAACGTCAAACATTTCAATTTAAACTCATATTTCTAATCAAATTCACATTGTTGAAATAGCTCTGCACTCATGTCTCATATTGGTTTCTCCCAAGAAATTTGAGGATAAACTTCTAAGACAAAGTTGATATTTAAATTAAACATTACAGAGAGCTCCATTAAGTCTCTCAGGCTTTATCTGAGCAATACAATTCTTCAAAAAAACACCTGTCTCAGTCAGGACTCACCTGCTGACAAGTTTTGCGCTTGACTACATGCAATTTTACAAGGCTTCAGTTTTATAAATCTAGCAAATCCTATTGACACGCAGGGAAATGTTAGTAGACTTACCTTCCAGGTGAAATGCAGTGCAGGTGAGTCACCTCGTCCTCCTCAAATAAGTTCTGAGCTAAACGTCAGCATGCGACTCAGTCACATAAGAACGGTGGGCGGATCCTTTTGAGCGCAGAAATGTTGTGATTGCTGTTTGTCCACATTTGTGAATGAAACGATTCTCCTTGTGCGTCGGTGGAACGTAACGATGAGAGTTTATTTATAGGGAATTACCTGCTGTTGCATCACAAACTTCTAAGAGAAAAGACATTAAAGGCACGTTTAGAATTGAACTAAGGCTTAATCCTGGCTTAATCTAAGCCCTGTTTGTGAAACCAGGCCTAAAACTTTCTGTAAAGTAGAAGCCGCTCTGAGTGCATTGCCACATTTATTCCATTTTGTTTATTTTGAAAGGGTTTAAACGTCTAAGATTGGGTCATGAAGTGATTATGGATTGTAAAGCTTTAGGTTTTATTCAGATATGTATTTATAGAAACTGTGTGGGGTGTTACTGTTATTTTTAGTGCATTAAGAGCAGGTGTGGTCCAGTACTCTCAGTGAGACTGCTTTGCTCTTTCTCTGTGTGTGTGTGTGTGTGTAGACCGGATGGGTTTGGTGTCAGACTCTGGTATGCCAGGTATGCTAATGGGGAAGTTTTGTGCGCTGCAGGTATGCGTGGAATCGTGGGAACTTTGCAGACTTTAATCGGATTGTTTACATTCCTCGTTTAAAGAGCACACGAGGGACAAAAGTAGACGTCATGTTGTGTCATCAAAAACCGTTAGAACGGCATAGTTTTGAGGTGCAACAAGGCCAAATTACTACAACTTAAAGTAATGACAAAAAACACTTTTTTTTTCTTTTCTTTTTTTTTGCAGTGCAATGAAATGAATTAAAAAAATATAACTAATGAAGTTTGCCACATAGAAACAGCAACTTAACATTGAAAGAGATAGGCTATGATGTCTTAGGCCCAGTAAGATTTGTATCTAAAGAAATTCATATTTTTATTGAGCAAAAAATGTTATGTTGATCAGAAGTGACAGTAAAGGCATTTATAATATTAGAAATGTATATTTCTAACAAAATAAATACTGTTCTTTTCAACTTTCTGTAGATCCAAGAATCATGGAAAATGTATATTGGTTTACACAAACATATTAAACAGCACTGTTTTCAACATTGATAATTATTAAAAATGTTTCTTGAGCAGCTAAATATCATATTAGGATCATGTGACACTGAAGACTGCTAATGATGCTGAAAAGCCAGCTTTACTATCATAGGAATATTTAAGAATGTAAAATATAATAAATATTAAAATGGTTATTTTATTTGTAATATTTCACAATATTACCGGTTCACTGTATTTTGATCAAAATATGTTATGCTTGGTGATCATAAAAGACGTATATTACTTGAATATAAGTAAATTATTATAGGCTATTTTCAGCTTTATGTATAATATGAATATGACAGAATAGTGGAATGATATTATTAAAGTAGTTTGATCACACCATAAATATGATATGCATTAGTATAATGGTATGATGACGGGTTAGTATTATAGTTGAATGATGTGCATTAGTATGATAAATAAAAATAAAGGTTCCAAAAGAAACTTTGGTCCCACTTTATATTAAGTAGCTTTAAGTATGTACTTCATGCTCATGTTGTATTGTAAAACACTTTTGCTGCTATTGAGGTGTGATACGGGTAAGGTTAGGGACGTGTGTGGTGGTATAGGTCGGTTAAAGGGAGGGTTAAGGTGTAAATACAAATGCAATTACATAAATGAATTACAGCTGTAATTACATGCAGGTATTTTCTAAATATAAGTACAATGTAAAAACATGTATGTACACAATAAGTCTGTTGTATCAAATTATTAATTTCAATGTAAGTGCATACTTAAAGCCACTTAATATAAAGTGGGACAGGAACTTTTTCTCTTAGTGTGAAGAACATTTAAAAAATCTAAAGAACCAAATTTTCCACTCGAAAGAACATTTTGTGGAATGGAATCTTCCATGGATTCTTCTTTGAACCATAAAGAACCTTTATTTTCAAGACTGATATGTAGGCAGGCCTACTGTATAGTGTGATATGATGGCATTAATATAGTAAGATAGTATTGTTGTAGTGTTATCTGAATTCTGAAGCAGTTTTGTACAAAGGCAGTCAATAGACCTTTTTATGTCTTTCTTACTTGGTGGTCTTCATCTCTCTCACTGTCTCACGCGCACATCCCCGATCAATAGTCATCTTCGAAACGCATTTCTCACATCTCAAAGTCACCCCTGCCATCTCCATATGCTCAGTCATGACTCATGACTGCTGTTGGCGTTATTCTACATGACTGATGTGTGTTTGCAGTAAATGACACGCGCAGAATGAGACATTGGCATGGAAATGCACGCGAGATACTCGCACCTCAGCGGCCAGTGAGGTGTTTTGATGGATGCGAGGTTATCCCGAAGAACATTTGCCATCCCTCGAACAGAAAACCAATAGAATAGCGTTTTCTCTGCGTAATGAATCTCCTCCTCCTCCTCCTCATCCTCCTCCTCCGACATAACGGAGCGATGCTGGCGTTCACGCTTCAAACGAATCGCGTCAAATCGACTCGCGCCTTCAGCGCGATGGAGAAGACTGAGTCCCTGGCGTGAATTGAAGAGGGGAGCCCGACACTCAGCACAACACAAAACACACACAATGCGCTCCTCCTGTCGCGAATACGATGCCTTTCTCTGGATGGTTGGACTCCTAATATCACCTCGCTGAGCGATGATGCTCGTTTCACGGCTCGCCTTTGCTCGTCGTCCGCTTTATTCGCGAAAGAAGCAGCAGAACGGATGCTTGACCACTGCGAAACTGTCTTCACGCATCAAGCCTCTTCTGAATATTGGCAAGGGACACGTTATCTTAACCACGAGGGCCAGGGAGACACGATTAAAGTTTCAACGATGTAAATCGAGGTAGGTCAGCCCTTGGAGACGAGCGTTTCATCACTGCTTATTCTTCCTTTCATTCCGCCAATTATTGGCTTAATTAGTGTTTGCTGTTATTTTGGTAATTGCATCACTAAATCAGCTGTCATTGTGCTGAGTAGCATTTAATCAGAAGACCTCACTCCATCCAATCTTTAGGCCTGGGAAATACAAGACATGTCTTCCATTTTTGAATGCAATAGCCTTTATTACGTGCGCATCAAATGCTGTGTTTATGGGGGATTTTTTGGTCACTCCTGACAAGTAAGGAAATTTTGTTGCAAGTAGGTTGTAGCTTGGCATCACGTCAAAATGACACGAAATTGTTTCATCGCCATGTTGCATGTTTTGCTTTTCATGTTGCCTGAATATGTTCCGTCTGATCAAGTTCATTGCTAAACTTTTGATAGGCTACTGAACTGATAGTGGCATGCGAACTTTGATTCTGTAGGTCTTTGGGCACGTGGTCAACACAACAAATCAAAATGAGCATTGATGTGAGACGTGCATGATTCAAATCTGTTTAACTGACCCATAAGTAATTCGTTATATTTATTGTCATTAATCTGGAAGACCTCATGCACTGCAGGTACACAACCTGAATTGCCCTTAAGCCATAGTAGCCTATTGAAGAGTAGACTGCTTTCTGTGTAATACGGAATCATCCCATACTTAAAGGGTTAGTTCACCCAAAAAACTAAATTATCCCATGATGTACTCTGCCTTAAGGCATCTTAGGTGAATATGACTTTCTTCCTTCAGTCAAACTCAATCGGAGTTATATTAAAAAATATCCTCTTCCAAGCTTTATAATGGGAGTGAATACAATAGTAACTGAGATTTGGAAATCCAAAAAAGCGCATCCATCATAAAAGTAATCCATACAGCTGCAGGGTTTTAATAAAGGCTTCAATGGTTTTTGTTAGAAAAATAACACTTTATTTTACAGTGTCCTTGTTACATATGTTGCATGTACTTACCATAGTAATTACAGTAAATTATGCATAATTGCATGCAACTAACCCTCAACCAAATCCTAATCCTATCCTAACCTAGTAAGTACATGTAGTTCATTAATATTACTCCGTATTTAAATGTATAGTTACTCTGTAACACTGACACCTTAAAATAAAGTGTAACCAAATATCCGTATTTATGACTTTATTCCGGTAGTGGCCATACGCGAGTCTAGATCCAACAGAAGAGTGACCTCTGACCCGAAGCATGGCGTATTGACGAACGTGGATGCGCAGAAGATCGAGCAAAACAAAACAACGGTCACTATTAGAAGTCTTAAACGTGAATTTTTAAAGTGAAATTTTGTAGGATCTTGAGTTTGTTTGAACCACGAGAGCTGTCTACTCTCACCTAAGCTTACGCTACATCATGCATCAGGTTAGAGGTCACTCTTCCACCGAAACTAGACTCGCGTAGTTACTATTCACTTCAATTATAAAGCTCAGATTGTGTTTGGCTGAAAGAAGAAAGTCATACTAGGATAGCTTGAGGGCGAGTAAATTATAGGATAATTTTCATTTTTGGGTGAACTAACCCTTTAAGATATCAGAATTGTCTTCCATATTTAACCCAAACGGAGCGCAGTTTGTCCTGTATTTTGCGAAGTCAAGGCAAGAATGGACAGTCATTGATTTGAACTTATTTTAACTTGACCGCCGCGTTTGAGACGCTGCAAAAGACGCATTGAAAAACGATGGAAGTATCGCAGTGGAATGAAAAAACCCGTTCTGTGTGAACAGTTGTATCTGTTAATATTATTTATTGGGCCTGAACTAACATGAATGAACAATGACAGTGACTGACTTTTCTTTCAGGTCACTTAAAATGTGCTTTATGTCCTAACATATAAACCAACAAATTTATATAACCAACAAAAAATACAGACCATTAAACACATGTTGAGTTTCTGTGACAACATGCCCCAATAGTGTCACAATAGGAACTTTCGATTAAACAATCTATAATAGGCTTTTCAACTAAATATAATTATGGAAAAAATAATTAGTGAAATGGTAAAAATCAAAAAAAGGAACATACAAAAATAGCTTTGTTTCGATTCACATACTTTAATGATCTAATTAAATTAATTAGAAAAGCAAGAAAACAGTTCAACCTCTGTTTATATCTGTAAATCTAGTTTGGACAGGATTCACAAAAATGATATTTCAGACAGTTATCCATGCATTTGGACTTGACTCACTTTGTGAAAATGTTAATCAAATTTAACATAAATGTAAACATTTTAAATGCATATATAATAATCTGTTAATGCTATTTAGAAAAGGTATTGCAAAGTGTTTTTTCACCTTTTATCAATTTTTCATTATCATGAGTCGCAGATAGCACCTTTCGCCTACAAGAATGCAAAAATGAACCCTCCCTCACATCATCTTCTCTCCTCTACCTCGTCCCACTTCCATCTATTCAGATTTACTGTCTCAGTGACCTGTGTACGGTATGCCTTATTTGGCCTAATATGATTTGTCTTGTGTACTAGTTTCACCTCATCCCCCAGCCCGAGGTAATACCTCTTGTAAAACCGCTAGAGTTTGAGACACCATGCGTTTGTCAAGCGGTCTCAGTAAATGAAGCTTTCATCACAGTGCTTGAGTTATTGAAGCTGGTGGTAACCGAGCGCTACAGACCATTCTATTTATTGATGGCCGTCCGTACCGAGGTTGACAACTTCATCGCACCTTGACACCAAAAAAGGCAATCGCAGGCAGGAGTTTTGTGTAATGCTTAGCCAGCTGAAAATCATGCTGTTTGTACAATAACAACTTTTTTTTTTTCGAGGTCGAGGTGGTTATTAAATGTGAATGAAGCACTATGCACTCAGCTCTCACATGTAGGACAATAGGAATTCTGGGAATTCAAAAGGCTGGTCTTCGCTTCAAGAATATGTCTTGTCCTGTTTGAGAGACCCCTTAAAGAATCTTCTTTAGCTCTGGACACCCTTTTTGTTTGTATGATTGTCAATTTAAAGGCGCAGTTCACCCAAAAATGAAAATTCGTCATTATTCACTCGTCCTCATGTTGTTTTAAACCTGTGTGGTGTTATTTTTTTCTATGGAACACAAAATGTGAATCTTGCATCAGTTCTTTTTAATACAACAATAGTTCACAGTGAACATGTTTAAGCGCCAAGATAAAAAAAAAAAAAACATAAAAGTAGCCCATATGGCTCATATACCCTTTTCTTTTGTCTTCTCTCATATTATAGCTGTGTGTAATTAAAATACTGAAGTTTAAGTCTTGTTATTCACTGAAAATAGCTGAAAAATAGATCAGTGAGAGACTAACTGTGTTCTGTTTGATTTGTGAAATAGATCAACTGGTTCATTGACACAAATCGACTCGAAATAACAATTTATTTAATGATTCAACTGGATTAGTGCACAAAATGTTTTATATCAGGCAATTCTTTTCAATTAACTGGAATGAATGATTCGTTCATGAACTAGGCTGATTTGTCATGAATCAGACATGATTCAACATTGCAGTTATCAAATTAAAGTCGACATGAAAATTCACCCTATCTATATTATATCTATTTTCATCTCATTGGGAATGCTTCATATTTTATTTTCACCTTAAATGTTTCACCTAATCAAAATATCATAACCAGACATGGTGACAATCATTCAATCCAATCATTTACTCCGCCCCTTTTTTACAATTGACTGCAGACTCGCATTCAGATCTGCCTCCATCCATCCAGTCAACAACAACTGATGGACAGAACCAAGTCTACGCCATACATTTTAAGGGAAGATTATCAGTGAATAATAACTTTCATAGATGTATGATTTTAAAAAACTCGGAATAAAGTGCACAATTCATACAAAGTTCTGTCATGAAACTCTGGATGGCGCAGGCTGATAGGTCCTTTACTCAATATGCTTGCAATCACATTCTCTATAGGACACAGCTGATTGGTTCCTGCTGTATCAGTAGCCAATGAGCTCGCTGCTCAACCTTCAAATACTGGCCAGCGTTTGTTGTAGCAGTGCAGCGCGCTTTCAGAAACCCTCCACCTTCCCCAGCTCCACCTGTTTAGATCTGCTACGGGTAATTCATATACGTGCCAAGACCAAACATATCAACATTGCCATATACATTACCATGCCAAACACTCAGAGTTGTCATGACAGAACTACACTGTAAAAAAAATATATGATTAATAATTTATGACAATATGTTTTTACATTGCATTACCTCATCAAAATAACAACTTTTTTTATAAGTTATACAAGATTCAACTAATTTAAGTCAGTTTAATTTAATTTAAGTTGAAATGACTTAAACATCAATGTTGATTGTACTCAATTTAAGGCAGCAACTTTTTTTACTTTTATGCTGCATATCAAATATTCTGTTAAATGGGGTATGAAGCTTTGCTGAATCATGTAGTAAGCTTATAGCTGTAAACGGTTTCTTCGCTTGATTTCAATCACAGGTCAGAGGTAAAACTGTGAAGTTAAGCGAGTATTTGATTTCATAACAGATCCAATATCTCGCTTCATTGATTTTATTGCATAAGCTACTTTTCCTCGCTTCAAAATGATAACTGTGTCATGACTGAACTTGATGTTCATGCATTCATAATAAACACATAGTACATTTCAGTTTTAACACGCACAGTAGTTCCTACAGTATTTACTTTATATTATGATGTGGTCAAAGAGAGTATGTTGATTTCTTTTTTTCCTGCTTTTCTTCTCAGGTCTGGTATGAGTGAAGTCGCCTCCGTCTAGCACAAACTAGAGCTCACGTTTAAGAGAAGTGAAAGAGGAAGTCCGTTCAGCGTTTGCTGCGTATCGCACCATGAGCCAGCCACAGTGAGTGTTCAAGCTACATCCTACCCGCTTTATAATGATGTGGAGTGGTGTGTGAGGAACGCCGCTGTGTATTGGGCGCAGGAGAGTGTGTTAAATTGTGTTTGTGTGTGTTTACACTCCAGTAACACTAATTATGTGTTAAGCATTGTATTGTTTAGACTTTTCTGTCCCCCTTTTTTCCGTTTGAATACTTTTTGGAGTGTAGATTTGTTTGTTACATTTTGTCTGAGTAGGTTTTGCTTTATCTCATTTTTTTACATTTTTGCATGAGCAATACAATTCGTCAAACAAATCTGGTCCTACCAAAAATAGGTCATAAATTGAGTACTGTTGTTAAATAGTGATAATATACATTATATATATGGCTGTAAATATCCTAATCATATATTTTATCATGAAAAATAGTTTATGGTTGGGAAGTTTTTTTCAATGTTTTTGAAAGAAGTATCTTCTGCTCATCAAGGCTGGATTTATTTGATCAAAAATACAGTAATAAAAGTAATATTGTGAGATAATATTACAATTTAAAGTAAAGTAACTGATTATTATCAATGTTGAAGACAGTTGTGCTGTGTAATATTTTTGTGGAAATCGTAATACGTTTTAAGGATTCTTTAATGAATAGAAAATGAAAAAGTATATGCGAGATGCAGGATGTGGCTACATTAGAATTGGGAAGTATTTAACCGTAAAAAATACATCACCAATAGATAGATGTTAAGAAATCTTTCATGACAGGGTCAGTCCAGCATATGAATGTTCTTAATTGACTCGTCATCTTCACCAGCAGGAACCGCAGCACATCTCACTCGACATCCATGTGTTTGCTCTGCAGCAGGAGGCGTATGATATCGTAATTTATAGTCGCACACTGTTCTGCAGTCAGGTGCTCAGCATGTCCTCAGATTCATGTGGAGAATGCCCTTTCCACATCCTTCCAGCTCACAACTGTCCCAGGATCAGCAGCACCGGTGCTGACTAAGCCTTCTTGGGTGTAGTCTTCATGGCGCGACTTTTCGTTGTCTTCTCCCCGAGTCAGAATCAGGCCACCTTATCCAATTTAATTTGATGCCAGTGAAAATGGGTCTGTGAGGTAGATGTACAGTCTGTTCAGTATATTGCATTGCCTTGTACAGTAGCTGCTGGCGTTGATCACTAAATCTAAGAAACTTTATTCATAGTGGACTTCAAACACGACATATAGTGAACGAAGGAAGTTTCAATCGTGTTCGTAGGTATTTGCACGTGCGCTTTGTACATTTCTATAGGCACTGAAACTCGTATAACTTTTTGACTGCATCTATAACATAACCTTGTACTCGTAACTTTTAAATAAATACAAATGTTTACAAATCCTTTAAAGTTGATGGTGTTGTTTGACAAAGGTACAACAGCATCATTTTGACAGCACATAATGCGTAAACTCTTTTATGTACAAATGTTTACAAATCATTTGAGGTTGATGTTCTTGATAAACATACAATAGCACATATCAACACGCCTACAACCCTTTTGTCTATGTAAACATTTACAAACAAACGAGATCCTTTTGATGTGAATGTTGTTGATAAACATGCAATAGCATTGTATCAACATCGCCTAAAAAGTAAATCATTTTATGTGCAACTTTACAGAAATGTTTACAACTCCTTTGATGTTTATGTTGTTGATAAATGTACAATAGCATTGTTTCAAAAAAGACACAAGAAAAGGTTCTCTTTAGAACCCTAAATTGTAAAGAACCCTTTATGCCAAAAAAGGTAGGAGAAATGTCTTAATAACATAATACTTTCATGTTTACCATGTAAACATAAAGTATGTTTACAAGCGGTTTAATTCATGAATTTAATTAAAATAAAAAATGAATTAAAGCTAGGGTTAGAGTTAGGGTTAGACCTAATTTTTTTGTCGCTAGGGGTCGCTAACCTCTTACAATAACAAAAGCGTAGGTTGATGACGCATAAGTGGAATTATGGAACTTGTCGTTATGCTGATGAGCTAATAATGTTTATGGATGAGTGAATACATTGATGTTTTTAACACGACTGTGGTATGAAGCAGGTCGCGATTGCTAATGAGAGATAGATATCAGCGCCACACGGGAGTCCCGCGGATATAAAGGAATAAGAACATTTCATTCTACCGAACCACCCGCAAGTGCAGAATTACTCACACAGTTCAGTTTATTAGACGAATGAAACTTGAGGTAACGCAGCGCTGTTTCACTTGGTCTACACTATCACACTAAACTGCATTTGAGTGTGTTGAAAGTTATAATGTTATTCTATGTGTTAGTTTGTCTGTATGAGACTAGCAGGAAGCTAGATCAACATAATAAAATAACATGCTGATCATTTCTAACATTTCATCATGTTGAGCTATATAACATTGATTAGTTTCATGTACATTCGCTCACCTGTCTAATAAAGTACATGCAAGAGCGGCGTCTAGTCAAGTCGAAGTTTGTCACGGACGTGGAGCCCTCGGTATCTCGAAAACGTCACGCTGATATTGATCCTCGTTTTAGTTCTCCTTTTGTCCCAAAGTCTGCTTGCCATGGTCCATAATGTTTGAACGAAACAACAACAGTGTGAGCGTACCACTTGTCCACGTCTGTCGCGGTTACTACGGAAACCAGGGATATCGCGGATATTACGTCATCGATAGGCGACATGTGCACATGGACGAGCCATTATTTAAAATGGGAATTTCTCTGAAATTAAAAATCTTTGGGAACTTTTGGGATATTGTAAGTACACAACTGCAGGAAATATATTACACTGTGCAAGTGATTTTTGAATATTTTATTACAAAAATCTTACATATTTTAGCTTTAAAGCCAAATGAATTTTCTTAAACTAAATCCATAAAATGATCCCATAATGGAAACCCCTAAAAGGTTCTATATAATATATATATATATATATATATAGATAAGAACCTTTTCTTTGAAGAGTAATAAACCCTTTTTTGCATGTACAACTTTAGAGACATACTAATTATTACAAATCCTTTGATGTTCTTAACATAGACATGTCTATCCAAATGTTTGAAAAATAATGTGTGCTTGAAACACACTTTACATACAAATATATGAATACCGATGAGATAATGTTAATTGAATGGACAGTACTTCTATCCCTCACAGCCTTGTTTCTGTTCGCGTCAAATTAAATATGGTGAAGGAATATTAAACGAGAGTACAACCAATACTAACACCGGTGTCAGTATATATATTGTTTTATGAAGAAGTGCTTGGTGTGTGGCCCTCACAGGAACCTCCTGTATTCTGATGGCAGTGGTTTCGGTGTCCAGGGAGAGGAGGAGAGGGAGGTTTGGGAGGTTGGTAGTGAATGCAGAGTGGATTACTTCAGCGGCCGTCTTTGTTCATCAGAGCTGCACTTGTGTACTGTGCATTCAGAGCAAGTCTGAGACACAGGAGTAAGCAGCAAAGAATAACATGATACTTTTGACTCAATTACACACCACGGGATAGATTGCAAGTACACCGCAAAAGACACCTTATATTAAATCAAACCGCTTTTCCAAAACCACCATGTGGATATTATTTACATATGTAGCATGTACTGCCGATCTTGTGTTGTGAGAAATAGATATACAAATGCTTAAAGTGCCCCTATTATTCTGTATTAAAGGTTCCTAATGTTGTTTTAAAGGTCTCCTACAATAGATTTACATCCATCCAAGGTAAAAAAACAAAACAAAACAAAAAACACTAAAGTTTTCTTATAATATACATTGCAGCATCCGCTCTTTTCTCACAGTATCTGAAACGGTACCCAATTATGTTACGTCCACATATATACTTGGCATCTAGAGGTTATGGGACGCAACATACAATAAATAAAGAAAATAGAAAGTTGTTTAATAGTAATATGTTTTTACTCTATTAAGGAAATGTGTGGTGAGAAATTAAGAAACAGGCAGAGACCAAACTGAATTTGTACTTGCTTTTAGTAAGTAAAGTAGTTGGATGTAACAAGACACCCAATAACACAATAAACCGTGAATCAAATATACTTCCAAACCACAAACATCTATTTACAAATTATATACAACATAAAAGATTATGTTGTATATAATCGGTTCAAAAGAGGATTCAGTCTCTATAAACCCCTTCTTTCTGAGAGCTTACTCTGTTTTGATTGGTCAGATGGCCCAGTCTGTTGTGATTAGTCTACCGCTTACAGCGCATGTCGGAAACGAAACGCCCATTATCTGAATTTCAGATCGGGATCTTCCTCAGCACTTTATACACAGTGATACGAACAGTAACGATGGCGTCGGTTTTATCATATCTATTCAAGCTCGAGTCTTCATCCTTTGGATGTTCATGCAAAGTGGATTTGCTTTTATATCGCAGAAAACGGCATCTTCTCGACATGTCAAAAGCACGAACCAAACTCTTCCAGTCTCAGCTACAACTGCAGTGTTTGAGGGTCAAAGTATGTAGACGTTGTTTTCACGAGCAGCCAATGAAGACCATAGACTGACATTATGCACATTTTTAGAAATCTACATAGTTTTGAGCAAGACTGGAATTACTGACGACTCGATCTTTGAAACTTTGCAGACCTTTTACATATACACAAAGCTGTATAACACACTACATGAAAGTGTGACCGAGCTATATCGAAAAGGGTCACACTGTACTCCCAACTATGCCACCGAGCCAGTACCAAAAGAGAACAGAGATGTGACCTTCGAGTACTAATATACTTTAATTAACAAAACAATAAAAAAACAATCAATAATAGATTCAAATAAATAGACGATTTAACTTCCTTTATTATAACTTCCTATATAAACCCGTATTTGGATATGTGGATCATACGCCAAGATGCTTATAAAATCGCAACCCACAACCTAAATATTACTGAATATACCAGGGGTCTCATTTATAAAGCGTGCGTACGCACAAAACGAGGCTGGAAACGTACGTACGCCAGTTTCCACGCAAAGGTGTTGTGATCTATAAA